ATGGATGTTTTATTTGATATTTTGATCATGTATCAAAAAGTCTAGAGAAAAAACATTTCCTCGTCAAAAATCATGTAGCAGTCCTCTTCAAAACAGTAAGGACCAAAACTGTACAATTTTGCTCTACAATACTCTATTACGAATTTTATTTTCGGATTTGACGTACAAAAATTAGGAATCGTCAATTTCCTCTACAAACTAAAGACTGGATTTTCAGGTTGTTCTATAAGTTCCGTCCGCTTTAGTTTTCATTTGCAAAAAGTTATGAATTCTCAAGTTCTAGATGGGATCCAAGGCACTATTTGATGAAGCAAAGCAAGCTCTACAAAATATTTTTCTTGCTTTTGCACCAGTCCAAATCCTTTTCGAGTTTAAGCCAAAAATTGAAAAGATCCAACAGCCCGAAATATAGAGAAAAAACGTGACTTTGTGTAAAAATCCTAAAAAATTTCTGATTTGCTAACAGATACACTATTGACATCTATATACACGTTGCTGATTTTTTTTTAAATAAAATTTGAAAATTAAATTTTATTGTTCTGTTAAAGTGATGCTGTGCTGTTCCCACATCTGCAGCTGTATACTACAGATCAGTAAACGTATAGACGTGAATTTCTAGCTTCCTACAAGCTTTAATTCCCAAGAAATTTTGTTTTAGTATGGGAGACCCGACTATGCGAAGCTGAATTCGATGTTTTTCAATTACGAAACTTGCAGGGCGACGAAAATTTATATCTGTACTTTAAATAATCTGTAGTATACAACTAAAAATAGAAACAGCACTGCATCATTTTAGCAAAAACATGAAATCTTCGTTTTCTTGATTTTTATCCTGGAAGAAAACACGGCAACAACAGTATATATACATGTCTGATGGGGTAGTTTATTTGTGAGCAAGTTAGGAATTTTTTCAAATCTTTGCACAAAGTTATGATTACTATTTCCAGCGAAGAATGGATCGTTTTAGTTTTTGGCTTCGAACTCGAAAAGGATTGAACTGGTGCGAAAGAAAGAACGCCATCTTGTAGAATTGCTTCTTCAAATGGTACCTTGAGATCTACCTATAAGTGGCGTCCGACAGAAAAATAAACAAGTGAGGGGGGGGGGAGCTTCCCCCCACCGCCCCGCTCTCGGCCCGCCACTGATAGGTAGATCTTAATGTCAAATGTGTCGCGAAATTTCTGAAATTTACTTACATGGGTTGCAAAATTGTGCAAGTCACTTGTTTACTTTTGTAAATAAGTAAAATAATTTTTGAGAATTTTTAATCAAATTATCATTGTAAGAAATTTTTTTGGGCGTAGCTGCGGCCACGACCCCTTTTTCAAGATTTTAAGGGTTATGGGCCGCAAAAACGATTGAATATCAAGAGGACGGAACTTAGGGGGCAATCTGATAATATCTTTCTCAATATCGAATATTGAGCCTCATGGTTCTCTGCATTGATGGGAGGTGTTTCTTACGGAAAGTTATCAAAACTTTTCTTTTGCTGACTTTAAAGAAATGATTTTTGAACGTGCTTCGTGATTTAGATCACAAAAAGTACTGAAGTGCTGGCTAGTACCAAAAAAGTATGTTGAAACGTCATACATAGTAGTAATCTATACATTACTGTGGCAGGCTTTAATCTCGCACGAAGAGATGTAATGAGAAAAAATTGATGAATGTCATTTTACATGGTAAAATTGTTACCGCATTTTTTTTTCAGAGTACACACTTAACGTCAAAAAACTTACAGTGTTCTAAGTGGCACCAGGTCAGTTTTACGGTTACAAGCTATGCTTTCGTAAAGAATGCGGATGAAGATTCTTCCCGCGTAAAACAATCATAAATCCTCTGTTTTTGCATTTTCATGCAACCTTAGACCCTGCCACAATGGTGTATGGACTACTTGACCGATTCATCAACATATCCTGTGGTGAAAACTTACCTTAACGCACACCTATATTCACAACCATAAGGTATGTTCACTCTCAAGGGTAGAACATACTTCAAAGCCACTGTGCACGCGAGTACTCAACGTTCGCCTTTTTTGTCGTTCCGGGACCTCATGTCCCTAATTCCGGACATCAGGTGGATCCACGCAAAACCCCGACAGTCCCCTCCCGCAGCACTCGCAGAACGAGTTCTACAGAAAGGTAACTGAGTGAATGCGCACGGACGGGCAAGACGAACATCACGAAGCGTTTCTCGAAGGAATCAGTTTTATTGCTTTGGAAAGCAACTTTTGGCAGCGCAAGAAGGCAAGTGGACAGTTGGGTTCCGTTACGGTTGGGTATCAAAATCTTATTGACCCATTAGGGTGAAGATGCCTTCAAGGTATAAACTAGTCACGAGACATTAATCCTTATTCGCGAAAGTGCCTTAGAGACAGTGGCTTGGCAAATCTTCGATCTAGGGTTTTTTTTCGCTTACCTCGGGAAAACAGCAGCGCTGATTTCAAAATTCCACTTCTAAAAGCGCGAGAATGGCGAAAACCAGCGTCTCCCAAAGCCCTTCATTTTGAATTTGGACGAGATTTGGACGAGTGGAACGTTTTCCACCATGGTTAGAGACGTAGAGTCGTTGTGGGATGCTCATGTTTATGGCATTGCGGCGTGGAGCCTTTGACGGTGGAAGAATATGGCAAGATGTCCGTGCGCGTGTAGGAATGCTTGCGCGCACGGGTTAGGTAGAATTTTCTAGTCAAGGTATCATGTTGTGCGCTCAGACCTGCTCCGTTTGGGGTGGTCTTCCATGTACAGTGAATTTCGATCCCCTTTAGGAGGAGATTGGATTGGCGGGCGTCTGCCCCGCGACGGTTCGCGCCGTTTCGCATTACAGTGTATCATATCGTGCTGAGAATTTAGGTTTGCGTCTCTTCATACTCCTCAGTCTTTGCTTGGCAAAATGCCAGCGCCGCGCGCTCGCGAAGCCTCCAGCGATGAGCACGCGCAGCTCCTTGTAGAACGTTCTGCCTAATCCGGGATGAAACCGACTGTAAAAGTTTCGAGATATTCGATTTTGCCGAGCCTTTGCCTTTGAAGGCAGCGTCCCGGCAAAAAAGATGGGTGCCGCGTTTTTGTAGCGATGTTAAAGTAAGCTCGCCTCCTGAACGATGACTGAAGTTGGGGGCGAAAAAGGGGATCTATCGAGCCTAAAATTTGCCTCGAAAGTGGTTCGGATCTTACGGTAGGCTCGGGAGAGTACGAGATGCATGCAAGCTAGAGACTCTGTGTTGTTGCGGGACCCTGCGCTCATCTGTGTGCGCTATGCCTGCTCTGGCTTTATGTTTGAAATCACTGTGCGGACGGCATTTGGGCCTACCGGCTACTTTCGGAACAAATTTCAGGCTTGGCAGATCCCCTTTTTCGCTCTGAAGTTCAATCATCGCTTAGGTAAGGGTTCTACTTTAACATCGCCAAAATAACCCGGCACTCATCTTGCCGGGACGCTGCTCTCAAGTTAGAATACTACACACCCTCAAATTACAAATTCAAACTAAGGCCATGCCCGTACATCTCCGCGAGAGGGAAGGGAGAGAGGGAAGGCGTCATACCTCGCTACTCTAGATGTCTTTTCTTTTTTTTCATCTAGCTTATGAAGGCCATCATACCCTGATACTGCGTATGATGATGCCAGTTTACTGCCATGCAAGATTATATTTTCACTACTTTTGTGTGATCCCCCGGGGATAGCTAGGGAATCACGAACCGCGCCGTCCACCGACTTTCCTTTTGGATGAAGAGATTTTGCGGCTAGTCTAGTGTACTTTGTGTAAACATAAAAGTGTATCAATATTAATCACGAATGGAGGTTCGCACTCTAGTAAATCCTGAATCCCGACCAGCTCAATGATGAATCGTCAAACTGTGCCTATCATTTTAAAGTACCGAGAATTGATAGAGAAAAACATGCTTGCAATTGTGTGATGAGGGAGAACCATATTATATAGAATGGGACAATGGTAAGTTTCAGCATTGTAAGGAGTGTCCGTATGTGTCTCCACTGTTTGATCGTAATATCTCTCATTCCAAAAAGTCTTTTGCCTTCTTTCAGATACCATTATGTAGAGCTTTGTAGAGCTGGCTTCAACTTAAATTTACAACACAAAATTGCCAATTTTCATTACTGTAAGATTACGGTAGAAGCTTCCGGGCAACAATGTGAAGAAGCTGCATTTTCAAACAGCCTTCAAAAAACTGGAAATTTTTGTCGTAAGGTTTTGGTGGACTCTCCGTCAAATACTCAGTTTGGTGCAAGAATGTGAAGTTCTTTAGAAAGTGTAGCCACAGTTTTTGGAAACATTAGCAAAACCATCGCTACTGCTCATCTGGCATAATTTCTAGCAATAAGACGCAAACTTCATATCATTTATTTGTATTTGAAATTCTACTTGCCTAGTGTGAGGGTTTGGTACATTTCCGGCAACCAATGCTTTCGCATGTTTAAAACCTTCTTCAAGTTTCACCGTAATCCTACAGCAATTAAAGGCACCGTCCACCGAAAATGGAGGTTGGTGAGATTATGATGGTATACTAGTGTGGGCCCCCATACTAGACAAACCTCCAAGCTTCGCCGCAAAAGACTGCTTCGAGAAATCCGCTCCGGAATTGGCAAAGTAGGCGAGGCGATCCTAGTCGTCCCGCCCACTTGCATGCTTTATCTCGCCTGTGCTTGTTGCAGAGGGTTCTCGAAACAGGGATTTTTGGGGCTTCGCGGATTTTTGACTCCATGTTCGGAATCAGGGCTTTCAGAAGGCCTTAAGGCAACAAAAACATTGAATTCGAGATTTTGGGTGGACGGTGCCTTTAGAGGCAACCGATATTCGTTCTTACTTTGAAATTATGAAGCCAACATTACAGAATGATATCAATAAGTCCGCTAGATTACAGACAAAAAAGCCATGCACAATTGAACAATGGAAACATACTTCATGGTAAAGAGTTTTGTTACTCATATATGCTGCAAATTATGACTGAGTAGCAAAGCTCAAATGGACTAATTCTGGGCATCTTTAGATATATGGTTCAGACGAGCTGCTTTGGGCCGCATTGCAAATGAGCGACGATTTGCAAATGCCAGGAAGATTTACTCAGAAATGCAAGCAAAATTTCGTACCATGCATTACAAGGTTGGTTTTCTGGTCCTTGCGGTAGCATACACCAAACTCATAGTGGTTGTGCAAAGCAAAGCACATGAAAATCCGAGACTTAGAACGTTCTTACCTCTTTCACAGATTTATTGGTCGTGTCTTCTTTTCTGCTTTTTGAATGCGCAGGGGTCCTTTGCATACGCATATGTGTAACTAAGTAATATTTTGCCTTACATATTAGGTCGTAAAAAGCTTCCGGGCACTTGCAAAATTTTTTTCAAAACAACATATATTTGTCTTCTGGCCTTTCAGCACCTCACTGCGATCCATTAGCATGCGCAGAAGGGAAAGATATTGTGGCGAAAAGTTGGTCTATTCGTGCAGGATTATCTCAGGCATAATGAAAGCTAGAGAGCTCATATGCAATAGTTCTATAGAAGTCTGTAGGGGCTGTTATGGAGACTATTTAGGCCTTTGAGCGACCTCACGCAAGAAAAAGGTTTTTCCAGAATGCGCTATTTGAGTAAGTAACTTTAAAGTCTTGTCATTCTGCATAGGGTGGACCAAATCTTTGATTACTGCGAACATTGTTGAGGTAATGCCTTACACATCTTTTGGACCCATCATCCAAACGTGGCGATCCTCGCAGAAGCGACGCCAGCTGCGAAAAGCGTTGCAGTCAGAGGCAAGTTTGACAGCGTGTAATTTTTTAGCGCAAAACATAAAACTTGAAGCTGCTTGTCCGAAGTTAGCAGCCTTCTCAATCAGATCACCCATGACTTGGACGAAATTCTTCGACTTGCACAAAAAATGGTCTTAGGAAGAAAAATTGTGAAATTTTTATGGTAAGAAAATTTTTCTTCTTGATGTGCAGATCAAACACGTCCTGCATCGATAAAAATGAGAAGCCGTAGTGGAAACTTCAGGTTTGTCCCTACCGAAAAGTTCAAGAAACATGGTGTCAAAGTCCGACGGAGCGCCGAAAAAATGTGCTTGAAAATGAAATTTCCAAAAGTGCCCGGGAGCTTTCTTTATAACCTAATACTTGCATACTGCTCAGTTGCTCGTAGCAACGTAATTTTTCTAGAAATTACAGATGTTAAATCAGCACATGGCCTCAACTCCGGTTGATTCTCTTTTTTCGGCTTTTGGTGAAGGGGTCCGTCCCTTGCTCTCTCAAAAATTTCTAGCACTTGTTGTGAAGAATGAACCACTTGCGAAAGCGATATTTCAAAAAATAAAGACACTTCAGGTGATGATTTGCAAAAAAAAAATTTCAAACTTCCTTATCCCTAGGAGGAAAGCAGTAGCAGAAGTCAAAGAAGTCTGCGATTAACGAAGATATCTTGTAATGATTTTGTAAAGCACGCTTTATCTCGAATAGTGCCCCTTGCGCTTTTGAATATTCAAACTGCGGTTATAGTGAAAAAAAAAACGCTCATTACTTCCGCATATATCGAAAAACTGCAGGTGTTAGCATCACATGTAAAATCTCATTAGGTCTTTTATTCAAACCTTCAGCAGAGATCCGTGCAAGCCTTGTAAGCCTTATACGTAATTCAGTTAACGCTCGTTAGCAAAGTTACATCAGTCACGTGAGAACCTAAATGACTTTATCTTTCTTGTTATAGTTCAAAATTTATTCTTGTAACATTCGTTTTATGCGCATTTATTATCCCCAATTATGTTCTCCTTGTTGTTCAACTATCAGTGTGTTTGATTACCTGAGTTGAAAAGTGCTCGCGTTTGTTCGCTGAACCCTTATGGTACAGTTCACTACAACCAAAGGCACCATCCAAATTTCTCGACCTCCATGATTTTGTCCTTCCGAAGCCTTCTCGTGTCTCTAAATCTAATATCAAGCCGAGGATCCTCAAAAAATCCCGAATCCCCATTTCGCAAAACCCGCTTGAAACCTTTCTCTTCTCAGAAACGAATTTTGACTGCGCGAGTTGAGCAGATATACAGTTATGGGCCTCGTTATTGTTAGGCATCAAAATCTATTCGACCCCATCCTGGGTAAACGATGCCTTTAAGTGCTCTATATGATCAAGCGGTTGCTTCAAAAATTTTAAAAGCAGGTTCTCTCTCATTTATGAGCTTCTTCTTTTTACTTTTTATTTCTTTGCTGATGTACGAATGCACTTGTAATTTATGAGGTATCGGGGCTACTCCTAAAGTTTGTTTTTTTTTGCTTCGTTAATTTTCCTAAAATCTGAAAGATTTGAGCAAAACGAGTGTTCCGAAAAAATTGCTCGTACAAAAACAGGTTGTGCGCCTTACATATGCGTTGCGTTCCCAACGCCTGTTTTCGATTTTAAACAGCATTTTCACATCTTATCACTTAAATTTTTACACCTTTTGAAATTAATGAAATTAGATAACGCAGCAAAGTTTCTCCCTTGTGAGAAAATCACTAGATGTTTGCTGGTTTTCGCGAAAGTTTTCATGCATAATGAAAACAATAGCGGAATGTGAACAGAGGAGAATGACACATGCCAATACTACATTTAATCCGAGAACTGAGATTAATTCAATAAAAAACGGTGGTCTTGCGTTTTGAAGGTTAGATACGCGCATAAAAGGGAGCTTTGGAATTATTATGTGCGGAGCATTTATCTGGCATAAAATATATTGTCCTACGATCTAAACATTAATTCAAATGCTTTGATACATGGAAGCGAAACGTGGAGCCTTAAGCGCATTTTTTTCAAAACTGCTGCCTATTTACGTCTTTCTTAAAACCTAGGCGAAAAAGGAGCAACTCACAACATCATTACGGTGATGGAAATGTTAATGGAGGATTTTTGACGCACAAGTCATAACGGACCAAGAGCTAGAGCAGAGGTAGTAAGAAGGCGCTATTTTTCTGGGAATGGGTCACTGTTGTGATAAGCATGTCAATTTGGGGGGGGGTGTTACATGTGGGCGATAATAAAAATTTTTTGCGACATTACAGTGAACCGCGTGGAAGGCAGCACTCTAATAGGGCGGGTAACTCGTCCAAGCAGTAGGACAGGTGACTTGTCCATATTTCAATTACCTAATAATTTCTTGCAAGCTAGTAATGTAGTCAGATATGTCACTGACACCTACTTATCTGAAAGCAAACTTTCTTTAGCACGGAATTCGCAAAATCCATGAAGATATGTTGAGTCTTAGCGTTATTAGAACGTTATTATAATGGAGAAGTTCAATTCTTGCGATACACATTTTATTTCAAAATTTTTTCTCTTGAGAGGTTAAATTTAGGGTTTTGCGAAGAACTTCGAAAAGTTAGGAGAAATTAATCTAAACATAATACTGACAACTTCAACATACTTGTAGAGAAATCTCCTTTGCAAGTTTTGGTGGCCGAATCTCCGCGTGCTGACTACCGCCAGTCTGTCCGCCTCTGCGTTATTGACTCTGACATGTAATGGTACTCACCCTGTCAAATCCTATTTTTTAAAAGTGTATTCAAAATATTATTTGATTTTGACCGACGCTGGGCAATAATGGAAGGTGCGAAAAATGATAAATGACACTAGAAATACAACTTTTTTCTTTCTGTAAGAGATGCGAATTTTATATAATTTCTGTCTTTCTAATCTTGGCGGACTTACTCTTTGGTATTGTATAGATTGTAGTTACAAATGCGACTTACGCCAAATTTCCATTTTCCATGCCTCTTATGAGGAAAGTCGGGTAATAGGTGTATAAGCCGCACTTTTTCAAATTCTTAAACAAGCTGCTCAGCCGCTGCATTGTGTTTCGAGGAGCAATCCTTATGGCGCACGCACGATTTTTCAGGCAATACGCAGCACGGCATAGGGTTCTTTGGTTGCGAGGTCCTTTGATTGTTCGGGCTGGTTTATGTAAGCTAGGACCACCCTGCGGCTTATACATCTGAAAGTAGGGTAAATTAAATTCGGTTTTTGAAGTGTGACACATATACCATTTGATTCAACTGGCTTGGCATCGGCAAAGGCGGGGCTTCGTGACCTAATTGAGGCTAGGTAATGATCAGAGTGCACTCGCGCGAGAGAGACGCAGATGGCCTTAATTAGATCACAAAACCCCGCTATAATGGTGCCAAGCCAGTTGATTCAAGAGTTAGGTTGCTACATGACGAAGGCGCAATATTTTTGGGCGCGAACACGGCTCTATTAGCCGCAGAGCGCATGAGATGCAGGCTTTACAACGGTGAAAATACGCGCGCGCCGAATTCGCGCCCGCTCTACTAATATTGCTTCTGCGCCTTCGTCTGCAGTAGCCTTTATATAAGGAGTCAGCTTCAAACGTTTCTAAATATGCAGGCCGTAGCTGCGGCGCATTATTCTAAAACAAGTTATGAGCTTTTTCTGCACGAATTTGGCAAACTATTCCATGGGAGAAGCTCTATAGATGGAAACAGCCTTAAAACGGTGCTGGAGTACTGAAATGATATCAGATTGAATTTTTTATCATTGACAGGGAACTTAACTTAGTAAAATAGCACTTAGATGATGATACCGTAATGCCGGTAGGTCAAAGATTATGCATACTTTGCCCAGAAAAAATCGATAACTCGTTTCAGAATGATGTACCGCAGCTAGAAACAGCATGATTGGAATTAGTGTTTGCTGATCCCATATATATGTGTCTTACCTTAAACTCTAAGTTACCTGACTCCCCTTGTTAAATCTACTTGAGGGAAAAATTCGGACTGCTTTAAATCTTACTAATTAGAAAAATCATACCACACTCTGCATGAGAGGGCCCCCTTTCGTAAGTATGGCGTAATTGTTGAACCTACAAATGCATATGACGTCATGTTCGGCATGTCAAAGTGTTCCATTAAGAAGTTTCAGCGAACGTGAGGTTTCGCTTTCGACTTATTGACGAAAGCTCCTCCAAATAACCTCATCGGCTTCTTCAACCTCTTAAAGGCGCTGGCATTTTTTTCGGTCAGAATTAATTTCTAGACCCGCTGCATGCAACTTTGTCTGGATGTGTTTATTTTGGATTGTGTACTGCTTTTTTTGCTCAGAAACCTTAAATTTAGATTTCACTGGTTCTCTTGCTTATTTTTTTAAAATCTTATCACATTCTGGCCTAACACGAGGAATGGAAGGTGTAATAAGCATTTTTCCAAAACTTTTGCATGACTGGTGAATAAAAATGTGATTTCTAATGGCTCGTTTGCAACGCGCAGATGACGATATGCTATGAAACTTCATATGTTAATGAACATTGGCCTGCAAAGGATTTAGCTGAGAAGTTTCTTAGAAAATTGAATGACTGAAGGTTGTGGCAAGATTTTCTGTAAATTTCCCGTTACCAAAAAAATGGAAAAATGGCTCATTTGCAACGCAGAGACGACCAAAACGCGGGAGATTTGATGTGTATACGCGCGTAGAGCTAAGGAACAAAGTATGAAAAACCATGCAAACTTATGTGAATGAAGAGCGTGCCCAACTTTTTTTCAAATTAGTTTGGCCATTGCCCACCCAATGCTTACCTGAAGTGGGCAAAACTTCCAATTTACACAAGTTTGCAAAAGTTCTACATAAATTTGTTCTACACCTCAAGTTTAGCATAAAATAACATTTTGTTTTAAATCTCCTCCTATCCTCCTTGATAGGATCAAGAATAAAACGACGAGGGTTCTTTGGAGGAAGACAGTGCGCTTCAATCGTACAACCCACGTAGCGGCGGGATCAGGTGGAAAATCGTGAAAATTGATAGCGGCAAAGGCGAAGTCGTTTTACTGATATCCACTTGCCACCCTCGTCTCTACTGGGCCGTGAGCCCATATCACAATCTATATGCTGCTAGGAATGAGCGTGCTACATTTAAAAACAAACAAAATTAGAAGACACGCTGCAACACTCAAGTGTTAACGCATTTTTATCAATCAATTTGCATATATTTCTTCAAACTGTAATATTGTCATTTGTATTTCCAAACAAATGCTAAATTTGAATGACGAGTTGGTAGAGTAGCGCTCATTATCAATGCAAAGTCATAAAAGTACCACTTTCAATCATCGCTCTCAGTCTACATGCTTAAATCGCACGCTTTTGATATTGAATTTGAAATTTGTTATAGATAAGAGTTTGTTATGGATAATTATTGCTATTTAGGACAGCATTTTGGTCCCGCCAAAAAAACATAATTCGATGCCCAAAGTATAGACATAGCGTCTGCGTGTTTGGTATTGAAAACCTGCAGTTTTTATCTAAGAGTAAAACCTTAATGGCTAACAAGGTGGGCTTTGCGAAAGCATAGATTATTAATTTGAGTTTTTTTTTCAGCCTTATCCTGCTTTTGATTATGCAATTGTTGATTGCATGCATGAACTACTCTTTAACCGTACACACTTAGACCAGGTCGATCATAATCTGGATCTGCAATTCTACAGATCCCTTGAGAACGTAAGTAAATTTTTCACTTCCTGTTTTTTTTTTCCGATCCCATGCATACAATAGTTTCCCAGATTTTTTTTTCATGCAAAAATCACCGATATTGGTGACTAAGATTTTATCTTACTTTCGATAGTTTTTATTTTACCGTGCAGCTATTATTAGGATGTCCTAAAAATATTCCTACTGTTGATTGTTTATAACTCCCTTAAAATAAAATTTTTCAAAAAGCTCTAATTATTGTTTTTAGAGCTGGTTTCAACTTAGATTCAAAGCATGCGGCAAGTTTAAAGAACTATTTTCATTACTGTAGGAGCACTGGGACTAGGGACTTGCAGCAGCGCCATTGTGAAAAAAGGCCGTTAGGAAAAAAATTTCTAAAAGATCTGAAATACTGTGTGACAGGTTTTCATGCATGCTGATCTCAGCACACAAATTTCTTCCTTTCGTAGAGCTTCTTGAAAGGCCTCATCGGATTTCTAATGATTAGCAGAAATTGGCTGTTGTAGCATATCTAGCATAACTTATGATGCGTTGCCGTAAAGTGCGAGATTTATGTTGGAAACAACGACTTGAACCTAGGAGGAGCTTTCAGCTTTTTTGGTTGTCCTTGGTAAAGACGATTTTCTATTTACTCAAAACCCTCCTCAAAGTTCCTACCGTGATACTACAGTAATGTAGAGGGATCTATTCGCACCGTATTTTATATCTAATCTGAAACGAGCTCTACAAAATAATTTCTGAAGCTTCGCGAAAAACGGCATTACAAGAAAATTATTAACATTCAAAAAGTAGGCACATTTTTTGGGACACCTCGAGTGAGAAGCTTCATTGTCTTGATTCTCGGCACAACTCAAAATGAATTCTCTAACTGATTGTAACTGTCGAATGTATATTAGGTCGTTAAGAAGGTAATGTTGCTTTTTTTCAAGTGAACGCTACATCTCGAGAAAGCAAGATTTCTAGGAGATCTTGGTGGCATTCGATGCAGCATTTCATTCTCTTTCTAACGGTTATATGAGCTTTGCACAACATTTGATAAGCTCCAAAAAATTACTAAAATCTGCGACCCATGTTTTTTGAAAAGGTCGAGTTTGACAACTTTTCTAAATTTTTGCAACGATCCTCCGAAGGAGTCCAAGTAACAGGAGGATTGAGCAAACCTTATGGGAAACAGTACGATTTTTTTCTACTTTCCATAGCTCGTCATAGAAATTTTTTAATGAAATCACCGAACTTTAGCAGGCTTGTCTCAGCCATGAATGCATCAAACACCAATAAATTTTCGGATTTTAAAACTTACAAAGATGGATTCCGCTTCAGATTAGCAACTTTCGGAAATTTCGGGTACAGCCTGGGGCGCCCTGGGAAACTTGAATTATAATGTTTTATCCCTGAAAACTTCATAAATCGGAAACCAAAAACAACTTACCCGAGTTGATTGTCGGTTGTTGTTCTGTGAGATTTGAGCTGACCAAATATGAAATTTGTTAGCAAAAAATTGATTATAGAGATTCTAAAAAGCAAACTAAGGAAAAAAGTTGTTTTGTGTCCTATAGGGTCTGCTCTATTTATCTGTTACTTGCACATCTTCGGAGAATCAGTACAAAAATATAAAAAAATAGCAAAACTTGACCATGACAAAAAATCATGAGTCGCAGGTTCCGGTAATTTTGAAAGTCCATTGACTATTGTGCAACGAAGTTACGACCATTAGAAAGAGGAATTCTGCATCGACTGATCCCAAGTGCTTTTGAAAATCGTGGTTCCACGAAATGTGGTGTTTATATGAAAAAAAAGCGACATTACTTTCGGAACGACCTAATGTTTCGCCCATTCACTCGATTCTTCCAACTAAAACCCAAAACTCACATAAGTTTCCCGCTCCTGACTGATGAAAAGTCATTAGCAAATTTTTTTGTAAATACGCTTGATGTGAAGGGAGAACAGTGTAGGTAAAAAATTTTTTATTTGAAGTGAAGACGTGGCAGACTTTTTTTCATGTGGCCTTGTGCTACTTGTAGGCCATCTGAGGTGGCTTACAATCAAGCATACAAACTCATACTTCTTACCAGTGGCGGACCGAGGGGGGCGGGGCTATAAGAATGTGCAAATGACATGTTTGTTTTTGTAAATAATTAAAATAAATTTTTAAATTTTTAAAAAATTCAAATTAGCCTTGTAAAAATTTTTTTCGAGGGCGTAGGTTTATGGACTAATGACTAATGATTGCAATGTTCAAGAGGAGCAGCCGTGGTGTCAAGAGGTTGCAAAAAACGTGACAAAAGTAAAAAAAACAAAAGTAAAGTTTTAGTACGTTTAAACAGATAACTACGGTTATGATACGTCCCTGACATGTAGATAACAAGCTCGTGATGAAAACTATGTCATAAATCTGTCACTGGCCAGCTTTTTTCGTGCTCTCTGATATGTTTACATCAGTGGCGTACCCAGGATTTCTGTTCGGGGGAAGGGGGGGGGGGAGGGGCTCGACAAAAAAAACTTTCAAATAAAGTTGCGTGGCGTTAGCCACGAATTCCGAAAAATTTCTTTGATATGCTTCCCAAAATTTTCGGCCCCCTGATCAGAAAAAGGGGACGTGGAAGCAGCCGCGCCCCCGAAAAATTTTTTGCACGAGGTCAATTTGAATTTTTAGAAATTTTCGAAAATTATCTTAGGCCCTTATGCGCGTACATCTCCGCTGGGAAGGGGAGGAGATCTGAAAGGGGATGCGTCATATCTCGCTAAGCTAAGTATCTTTCTTCTTTTTCTCTCTCGCTTATGAAGGTTCTCACATCGTTATACCTGCGCATAATGGATGCCAAGTGACTGCCACACAAGATTGTTTTTTTTTTGCCATTTTGTGTGATCCCTTACGGATCTTCTGGGGATCCCCAGGGGATCACCTCTCATTTTCAAAGTGATTTAATTTTCTGAGAAGTCAATGAAAACGCTACAAAGTTGAACTGAGGATATACTACGGCACTGCTAATTATGTTTTTGACAGGGGAAATGGAGTCTGAAAATTGTGAATTTTTCCATAATCCCTAGCTCACAAGCAGTGGTTCAACGAATATTTCGATTTGCTGAGATTTTACTGTTTTCTATCATTAACATGTTTAGCCTGACGTAACCTGGCATCCATTAAGCGCAATTAAAAGGGTTTGAAAACCTTCATAAGCAAGATAGAAAAGGAAAGAAGAAAGATACTAGGGTAACGAGACATGACGCATCCCTTCTCAGATTTCCCTCCCCCCCCCCTAACGGGGATGTACGTGCAACGGGCCTTAATTGTCTACAAGTGAATTCAAGTCGCTTGTGCATCTTAACAATGCATTCGAGTAGCTTTCAAAAATTTCGCAACCCATTCTCGGGGGGAGGGGGGGGCTCGATACGATACTGGTTTGCATGATACTTGTTGAAAGACTGTACTTCTACAAGCATTGTACAGTGGTGACGTGGTGACCTTTCGAGAGACAAAAGCCAGATACGAAGGATATGTTTCTTGTTTCTGTTTTGGCGCTTGCCTTTGTTGGTGTTCTTCTGAAGCGTTTGAGTCTCATTATAAATCAATAATATTGACATGCAAATTGTTCCTGTAGAAAAAGAACAGTTTCATTGTTTTTTGGCAACGTTCAGTTCGCATTCAATTCGCTGCAATTCGCTTTATCACGAGGTAGAACAGCCTGTGTTATCGAGAACACCGCTTGTTTACTGTCATTACATTGACAAAATTGCTTCATTAGCAAGCTCCAGATAGACAAGGGTTTTGAATTAATGAGCTATTATCGCGCACATAGCTGAGAATCAAACGCGCAACCGTTGCTCTCAATCGTTCTTCAAAAAGCAGCTATCTTGGTTTTAGGATAGGTGGGCATAAATGCCAAAAAAGAGAACATTAGTATTGTTTTCTACATAATTGCAACGGTAACGAACATTTTTGCCTGAAAAGGTGTGAGACAGAAATACTTGCATTGGCAACAGAAATTACTTTCGAATGTACAAATGATGAGAACCAGACGAGCAAGAACTTGAGTAAAATTAAGCGCTTTAAACTTAAGTAAAATAACTCTAAGATCCTTACCGGAAGAACTGCAATTGAAAAATGCGTAATACGAGTGTCGATTTAAGCTGGTAAACATACTTAAACAACATCAAGAGAACTGAACGTTGACATGATTTTGCCCGCGCTGCCACCTGAGATTGCATAGTAGCTCAGACACTCGCACCGGCCGGCAGCCATTCCACGACCGGCCGGTCCGTCACCGACATTTCGGCCGGGACGGTCGCGAGCCGGCCACCAGCCAGTACTCGAACGGCCGCCAGCCGGTACCCGTACGGCCGCCGGCTGGTATGCGTCAATGGCGCAACAAAATAGCACTGGGCCACAGTATTTTTTCTATCTACCTTTCATTCAGCTCTGTAACCTTAATATGGGGTGGTACGAATCTACAACAACACACATATTTATTACAGCCAAAAGGTACAATGCAAAGAGACATTGAACAAACAACAAACATTGCCACATTGTACACATATGCATGAAAAATACATTCAAAACTAAGAAGGATTTGATGCAACTGGTTTACATATCGTTGAACAACCTTTCCGGATTGGCTAGGCTAAAAGGTCATATAATTTTGTTTTGTACTTCTGAATGCCACATTCAATCGTTGATAAGCCGCATCCGATAACCTGTAAATGATATAATATATTGACAATTTTTAACTTATAGAGTAACGATAACGTCTGTTAGCAGAGCAATATCAAAACATATGCGTTCACAGGAGATGGTTAAAATAGATGATCGTATCGGTCTTAGAAAACACTGGGTAGTTTCAATCAAATCTTAGTCAGAAAAAACTTACATCTTTTGGAGTGCTTCAAGCAGCCGTAAGCATCAGATGAGCAGAAATGCGGTAGTATATCACATAGTGACTTAGCAAAAACTAACAGATCAACGATCTTCAGATAAATTAGAATACTCAGCAAAGTAGAAATAGTCCACAATTCGCAGCATTGAGGATTATATAAAGGAGCATTCATTGGCCATATTCGTATTCACAATTAACAGTGTTTCGTAATCACGAATAACAGTGTTAAACTGACAGCGGTCAACCATTCATTGTATCCATCATAAAAGCAGGAACCCAAACACAATGTATTGCAGCTGTCCCCTAGAAAAACTTGTGGACGTCTAGTTTGTACTTCCTTAATTCGTACCCAAAAGGTGTTGCGACACTTACCTAGAATTCACCTCACAGCAAATAGGCATGAACTCGCTGACGTTCGGTTTTTTCGTCATTCAAGTCAAATTAAGCAATAATGATATAGAAAGAAGAACGAACACCATGGAGTTTGATCAAATCTGAAAAGAAATGAATGAAATGAACGGAATCATATGCTACATCAACTATCATCGGACAAAGTAAGTGACGCAACCGAAGTAGAAAACCCCAACAAACAAAAAGGAAAATTAATGAGAGAAGTTTTCTGCTTAGCAGATACAACGCGCCCAATGTTTGAATTTATTTTCTTACTGTACGCGCAATCTTGTGCGCTCTCCGAGCTTTTGCAGAGTGGAACGGCCGCCGGCCGGCATTATTTACTAATCCGGTGGCCGGCCGGCGTTTGGCTCCGCCCAAAACGATGGAACGGCCGCCGGCCGGAAGGCCGTCGTCGAACGGTCGCTGGCCGGCGCGAGTGTCTGAGAAGCTTTCAAAGAAGGATCTGAAATTGCGGTCGTTCGCATTGAACAGGGCACTACAAAACATTGAAGAGTGAGGTCTGCCTCAATTCACATTCAAAATCGTCCACCAACTGCCTACTGAAATAACGTGGTTATGCGAAAATCATTTGATTGAGACCTGTTCGCAATTCTAAGCTCAAAAGCAAACATAAACAGCTGTTTATTACTGGGAAGCTGATTTTCCTATTTCAACGTCTGACATTATTTGTATACGTATTCTAATATAATGAGTAATCGGGAATGTTTGGCTGGTACACCTTTGGTTAAAGTCTAAGCTTAATCATCGATGAATCTTGGCATGAGGTAGTTATTTGTATACGTATTCTATAGCCAATAACCAAAATTGTCAATACGCTTTATTCAGTCAGGCTAACGTTTCGGCATTATCTTTGTAAGAGCCCGGAAAATCGCACACATTAGTGGTTCATTCCCTCAAACACCTCCTTCATACCAAGGCTACACTCAACATTAGGTTAGTTTGAAAGCAGTGACGGAAAGCATCGTCAATGTTTACCTCAGCAATCTTCGAATCAGGATGGAGCAACCGCCAAACACAGCGTCTGCACAGGTTAGTATCAGCAAAAACCAGTATGATTGCCTTGAATAGATGGCTCTAATCTCCGTGTAGTTCAAATTCGCAAAGGGACTAATACGAGAGCAGATTACTATTCATGGCAACGCCCTCTTCCTTGCGGTTCATTGCACTAGCTTTGGATGTTATCCAAAATGCTTCTAGCGTTGCACGAGGAACAATTTCGGATTCACGCTTTAAGATTGTGACAGCTTTATTGAATTGTTAATCTCAGTGTTCCTCTCTGCGATGTGCGCCTAAGGTGGTGTCGGATTTGGATTTTGTAAGACCATCTAGGTGCTCTTTGATTCTTACACACAGAGGCCTGCCAGTGTCCAGAAGAGGGCGTTGCCATGAATAGTGATCTGATCTCGTATCAGTCCCTTTGCGGATTTGATCAACACGGAGATTAAAGTCATCATATAAGGCAATCATATTGGTTATTGCTAATACTAACTGTGCAGACGCTGTTGGCGGTTGCTCAATCCTGATTCGAAGATTGCCGAGGTGAGCATTGACGATGCTTTCCGTCACTGCTCTCAAACTAACCTAATGTTGAGTGTAGCCTTGGCTTGAAGGAGGTGTTTGAGGGAAAAACCACTAATGTGTGCGACCTTCCGGGCTCTGACGAAGGTAAAGGCACCGAAACGTTAGCCTGACTGAATAAAGCGAATTGACACTCTTGGTTGTCGGCTATAGAATACGTATAAAACAACTTCCTCATGCCAAGATTCATCGATAATCGAGCTTAGACTTCAATCAAAGATGAACCAGCCAAACATTCCCCATTATTCAAAAAAGTTCTAACATTGCGACAGAAGGTAGCCTGCGAGAAACAAACAATTTTCTTCCTACGCCGTTGTCTGCGTTACCACTTGATCCGTAAGTTCACTGCAACAAGCACCTTGAGAAAACGTGTGGATTTACCAGGCAAAGCAGACAACTACAAGAAATAGAACAACGCATTCTTCGGGCAGCACTTAAGTCAGAACAAGATCTTACGTTTTTAAAGTTAAACAAAGTATTTCTATCTTGGACTTTAGTCTGACATTAGATCACTAATCTTCTGTTACAGAGGTCAATAGAGCACATACGAAGGACCCATCAATATCATTTTTTGAGTGCCTCTTTTTGTCCACGCACTTTTACTTCCACTCCAGCAAGTTGCGTGAACAAGAGGAAAGAAGTATTCAGTACCCGATAAAGACCTTATCAGCATAAGTGATCCTTTTAACCCCCGTACAAAGTGTTGGCAAGATAAGAAGTCATCACTGAAGTCAAAAGTAAAAACTCATAACTGCACGGCGCAATGAAAAGTACTGCTCAATTGTAACCATACCCAGTTCATGAGGCAAGTGGAAAAACTATACAGACTCAGCTTGGGTATTTTTAGGTTCGTTACCATAAAAACCTTCTCAACCCCAATCCTGACTACAAACTACGCTGCCCATCCGGAGACAAAAAATCATGAAGCTTCCGATCTCAGACAGTTTTTGAAGTCAGCTATTTTTTTGAGGAATAAAGATATTTTGTGTGTTTTGGTAAGAATATGTAGACAACTCACATACGTGAGATTGTTTAGTAGTCGAAGTGTCTTCTTACAAACAGCTGCTTAACAATGAATAAAAAATGGGACGCTTGTCATTCTGTGAATGGGAAAAATGGAACGCTTATCTTTGTGGACAAAATCATCAGTTAAATCGAGTTAATTGATTACCAGGCGGCATACAGACAATGGGACCAGTGCAAGCCTCTGCTTCACAGAGGCTCGCACTGGTCCCATTATCTGTATGCCTTACTCATTCCCGCAAATGACATTAGAACTCACCGCGCTGTACAGATTATCACGAATGATTTGTAAACAGATACTCATTTTCTAGCTTTTTCATGTGAGATCGGTAATTTCGCGTGGATGAAACTTTTCCAAGAAGAACAAATGCAAATTGAAATCTGTATCTGAGCTTTTGATGGCTTGGTAGTCGCCTTAAGGACAATAATCGTTATGATCCAAATCTCTGTGCAAAAATTATCCCAAATGATCTGGTAAAATCTTGGCAAATCATTACACAGCCAATTCTTCTTGGCGCCATTTGGTGAAGTGGTGGATTTTTGTTCATTTTTTTGAGCTAAAGTCCATGGGCTGCACATTAACTTGTCAAATACCTATGACTTTGCAAAAAGTGATGCTATAGGCTCAGTCTTGCAAGCCAGAAGCGAAGTGAATCCAATTGACGCGCAGTTTTTGAAAGATCCACTAAACGCATCCGCTCGAACTTTTGCGTAATAGACTTTTACGTTGTTGGCATGCGCTGTGCAAAACTTGGGCACAGGAGATTGGCTGGAACTCGCTTTACAAATTTCGTAACGGAGAGACAGACACACATACACACACACGTACAAAAAGACGTAAACATCCTTAACCGGTTATCATAAACCAGTGCATCACCTCTGCTTCGCAGAGGCTCGCACTGGGCCTACTTTGTACGCCTTGCTCATTCCCGCCTAATAATGACACTAAAACTCACAGCGCTATGCAGGCTATCACGAATGATTTGTAAACACAACTACTCATTCCGAAAGCTTCTTTGTGTGAGATCGGTATTTTGGCGTGGTTGAAACTTTTCCAAGAAGAATAAATGCAAATTTGAACCGGTTTTGAAACTTTTTATGGTTTCGTAGTCGCCATAACGACGACGGTCATCGTGGACTACATCTCTATGCAAAAATCTTCTCAAATGATCAGGTAAACTCTTGGCAAGTTGAAAAATTTACGCAACTACTTTTTCGGCGTCATTTTCGTAAAGTAATCAAATTTAGTTCAATTTTTTGGGCTGAAGACCATGGCTTGCACATTAGCTTGTTAATCATATCCAGACTTCGCAAAAAGTGGTGGTGCAGGCCCAATTTTGCTGACCAGAAGCCAAGTGGATCCGTTTGAAGCGCATTTTTTGAGGGATCCACCCAACGGATCCACTCGTGCTTTTGCATAGCGGACTTTCATGCTGCTAGCATGCGCCACGCAAAATTTGGGCTCTGGACGTTGGCTGGAGCACGCTCCTCGAATTTCGTAATGGACAGACACACACACACAAAAACACGTAAACAACCCTTAGCCCGTTATTATAAGTCATGATTATGATATCTGCAAAATGCAAATCAATATCAGCTTTCTATGCTTCAATTCTATTCAGCCTGTCTAGAATCAGGGCTCGGTCAGATGGTCTGGGGTGAAGCGTCGTCAGCGGTGAAAGTCGGCCGCCGTGCACCAATGCGTGGTATTGTCGTCAAGGTTTCAAGAAAAATGAAAAATAAATTCGTTTTTACTCACGGATTTACTAGATTTCCCTCGTTTTTTCGTGCTTTATCATCTTATACTTAGCTATGGAGGCGTTATATCGTTCTACCTCGCATTCTACCAAAATGGTTCTGCAAAGGGTAGTACTCCAACAAGCTGTTTCACTTGCTGGAAAAATGAGAAAAAAGTGCACCTGCTATAAACATCATTATATTCTCCTCCCCATTCCCAGTACTGTTGGATAGTCCGTTTACATTACGAAATTGTTTGACGTTGAACATAGTGCTTGTGCCAAACTTACGTTTGTACTCAGACAATCGCCGGGGGCAGGCGGTCCGCAAACTCGCGTTTTTCTGCAGACGCTCAGCAGAATTTTGGGGCGTGGCCAAACCTTCAGCGGGCGGCGCTTAATTTACTGTCTAATGTTCTGCCAGCTGGCAGCAACACAGAATTTTCCGCAGGCGCTCGTCAAATAATCTCTTTCAGCGAGCGCTGGTCAAATTTTCAGCTGGCGCTCGGACGGTTTTTAAGCAGTTTCGGGTGTACGCCGAGCAAAGGTGAGACTCTACATGGCAGAGGAGTCATTGATGGTTTGATTACTCAAGTTTGAGGTACTTTCTCTGAGGGAAAAGCACCTGGGGGCTGCGCGGTCCTCCACAAAGGACCGTGCGGCCCTCAAAAATTTCGCATACTCTCGCGGAAAGTCCGCGAGAATGCGGCCACTGCGCCGCAGCTAATCTGCAAGGAAACCGCGATCGTTCTTCAAGCATTCGTCCAAAATTTCGCTAAAATTCTTCCAAATATCTGCAAGCGGACCGCAAGAAATCAGCGAACTATTTTTCCGGTGCCTGCTTGCCCAAAAATGGTATGGCCGCCTGCCCCCGGCGATTATCTGAGTAAGTGTTTCTGGCATAATCCAGAATAAGTCGCCAGTGCTCCGGCACTGAAAAGAAACTATCAGGGTAAAGCATGGGGTGTGGCACGCCACACCTGGGGGTCTTGTAGGAGGGTTCGATGGAGGGGGGGAATCGTAATCAAGTTTAAGTGATAAACGGTAAGCGCGTGAATGAGTGAGAGGAGCGCGGATGCATTAATCGAGAAAGAATCCGGCTAGAGGTTCCTAGAGGGGAGGGGATACAACAGCGTTTGCACAACTGAACAAATAATGATATCTCTTTCTGGTGCAAGTAAACGACACCAAAAGTAACAGTCAATGATGAACAAAAGTCAGAAAACTCTAGTTGCCAAATTAAAGCAAATGGTGCTGATCTGCCACCGTGTACCTACCGTATGTCTAATGAAACACCCTATCACGCATAATAAATACCATGCTCGTAATGAACAGCTCGGATTACCCCTAGCTCAGACAATCGCTGGGGGCAGGCGAGCACCGGAAAAATAGATTGCTGATTTCTCGCCCCCGCTCGCGGATTTTTTGGAAAGCAATCAGGACTTTTCGGAAGACCGCTTGCTGAGTCAGCGGATTTTTGAGAGACCGCCTCTTGAATTTTTTTCGCTCTTATCTTTTGCAGATATACAGGGTGTCCCAAAAAAAATGTATCGAACGTTTGATCGTCAATATCTCTCTTTCCAAGAAGTCTTTTGCCTTGCTTCAGGTACCGTTTTGTAGAGCTCGCTTCAACTTAGATTTGCACTATAGAACGAATCACCCATCTCTCTTCATTACTGTAGGTGCCGTTTCAAAAATTTTCAAAAAAATGTGAAAACTTGTGTATTGGGGTTTTTATGGACGCTGAGTTCAATACTCAACTATTCACAAGATTACGAAGCTTTTTAAACGGTGCAACCGCACTTTTAGGAACATTGAAAAAATGGCCGCTACCTCTTACCTGGCATAACTCTTCAATGAAGCATCATAATAAGTTGGGAACTTTAAAGTTAGAATCAGCAACTCAAATTAGCCTAGTGTAAAAGTTTTTAGGCTGTTCTGTTTCCTTTCTGAGGCAAAATATGGCCTTTCATTGCTTAAAACCCTCTTTAAAGTTTCTACCGTAATCCTACAGTAATGAAGAGAGGTGAACGATTCGTTCTATAATGCAAATCTAAGTTGAAGCCAGCTCTACAGATTGGTACCTGACGCAAGGAAAAAGACTTCTTTAGAAGAGAGATATTAACGATCAAACGTTCGATACATTTTTTTGGGACACCCTGTATTGCTGAATCTCTGAGGAATCGAGAACTCAGCAAGCGATCTTCCGAAAAGTCCTGACTGCTTTCCAAAAAATCCGCAAGCGTGGTGCGAGAGATCAGCAATCTATTTTTCCGGTGCCCGCCTGCCCCCGGCGATTGTCTGAGAGGCACCAAGTTTTAGCGGACTCCTAGTTTTCCAAACAGTGAATAAGCTTGCAGGGACTACTAATTTCCAAACATGATTAAATTTGTTATAAGGGTAAGTTAGCTACCTCTTCTTGTACTCAATACAAAGTATTACTCCCTCTTTCCCCGCATGACAAAACCCCACTTCGAATAATCGCGAAGCTATGAAATTAGAAGACAGCCAAAATCATGCTTGTCCCATTTTTTATTAGGTTGTCAAAAAAATAATGTCGGTTTTCATTTGCTTGCTTTAACAAAGCAACCAGACTCAACCCCACAAAGGGTAAGGGGTGCTGTTCGATAGAGCAAAGCAAGCTCTACAAGATGGCACTCATATCTTTGCGCCATGCTCGATCTACGGAGAGTTCAAACTCACTAAAGATCTCCAAATGCCCAAGAAATCGAAAAAAATCAGATCTTTGTCCAAATAATTTCTACGGACTTTCCACTCGCTCACATCAATAGTATCGATATCTGATACCCATATGTGCGATTGCCGTATTTTTTCCTTGATTAGAAACTGAGAAAACGAAAATTTCCCTGATTTTCTCAAAGCAATGCTGAGCCGTTTTTGCATAAGTAGTTCAATACTACAAGCCTAGGTTAGTATAACTGTAGATTTTCAGGTCATTCCAAGCGGTAGTTTTCGAAAAATAACGAATTCGGATCTTTTCGTTTCAGTTTCAATGCTAAAATCGACATTTCTCGAAAAGTACCGTTCGAAATAGGCTGAAAACCTACAGTTATGCTTACCTAGGCTTATAGTATAGAACTACATATGCAAAAACTGCTCAGCATTGCTTTGAGAAAATCAGGGAAATTTTCGTTTTTTCAGTTTTTAGTCAAGAAAAAAGTACGGCAATCGCACATATGGATATCAGATATCGATACTATTGATGTGAGCGAGTGAGAAGTCCGTAGAAATTATTTGGACAAAGATCTGATTTTTTTTCGATTTTTTGGGCATTTGGAAATCT